TCAGGGATACTGGTCTATAGTTTGTTGTTGTTAAATGAGAAGTTTCTCTTGTGTCTTTAGTATAGGAGTAATTATTTGGTAAAAAATGCAACATGGTCTATGCAAACAAAACAGCCTGGCATTACAGTTGGCCCCTCCTCAGGGTGAGGCCCAGCTTGGCAGTGTGGCCAGGGATGACCACGTAAGTCCCATCAGGACATAATTACCTCCTCCTGCATATCGTTACCCGGGTTGAGCAACAGTGCAGATTCCGTGTTCCTGATCTGATACTCTCGGAGAAGTGCCTGGTGATGCTGGTGTACTGACAGACACAAGGACAATCTTTGCTATAATTGTGTAAAGCCATGCATAATTATATTTAAATGAAAAAATAGTTTGAAGTGAATCGAGGTTGGTTAGCTGTTCTTCAAAAGTTTTGTAGAATTCAAAAGTGGAGCCATCTGGGCCTGAATTTTCCTTTTTTGGGAGACTATTTATTACTGATTCGATCTCATCATTTCTTTTTTTTACTTAAATTTATTTATTTATATTCATTCACTGTTCATCATTACAGCGTACAAAATGAGATTTTCCATCCAGAGTACACTGTATACTGGCTCAATCAGACACATCAACATACATGTTATTGTCAGCAAATAATTTTCCATTTCTTGTTTCCTGTATGCTTTGCTTTTTTTTTTCTCCCCATCCTTGATTCCCTATCTCTTACCCTCTGCCATCTCCCCCTCTCCTCCCACACCATCTCTGTTATCTGTGTTTGCTTTCTATACTGTTTTCCCCCCACATTTTATTGAATTACTAAAGATCTTAATTAATCTAAATATTTTCATAGCAAGTACAGCTGATACATACATTTCCATGAACACAAGTCCAACTTTAGGCATCCTATAAAGTAGCACCTAGCTGGGGCTATATATCTTACTGCAGTCATCGAATAGATACTTTTTTTCTGAAACTTTTTTTTAATTTAATTTACATTCTTCCCTAAGCATCATCACAGCACACAAATTGCGATCTCCCATCCAGTACAAACTGCATAGTGACTCAATCATGCACATTACAAAAAATAATTTCCAATTCTAGTTCCTAGAATTATTTCCACCCCTCTTTCTGACCCTCTGTCCCTTTCCACTCTCCTCTCACACCACCTCCGGTGTCCAAAATTGTCCTCCATTCCCTTCCCACCCACATTGCATTGATCACACAATTTCCTACATATCCTAACTACTTTCAATGGTGAGTTCACTCGTTACTACTAAGAAAACCAGTTTTAACTTAAAAAGAAATGCCAAGGAACTTTGTTTAAAGCCAGGAAACAGGTTAGGATTCTGTTCAAATGGTAGGTGCATGAACCTATCCATATCTCAAGACAGGACACAAATCCTTACAATCAGATAACAAATTCTGCAAGAAAATCAGCAATATTTTAGTCAAAAGTCATAAAATTATACCTCACCAATTCAGTCTCCTGTACTTTATCTTGTGTTGTGGTTCTATTTTCCCGATTAAATTCTGGGATATAATATTCAACTCCAGACTTGTCCCTATGATTAAGTTGGCCACTTTCTTAGTTTTTGAACTCTTATTTCTGTGTGTCTGTATTTAATTTTCCTGGTATAGCACTCCCTTGAGAACTTTTTGGAGATCTGATCTGGTGCTGGTAAATTCTTTCAGGTTTTGTTTATCTGAGAATGTTCTTGTCTTTTCTCCCCACATGAAAGATAATCTTGCCGAGTAACAGTATTCTTGGTTGAAATTGCTTTTCTCTTAACACTTTGAGTATATTTTCCCATTCTTTCCTCACTCGCATTGTCTCCGATGAGAGGTCTGCTGTTAGCCTGATGGGATATCCTTTATAGGTAACTTGATGTCAATCTCATCACTTCTTATTGGTTTATTCATCTGATTGAGCCTCAGGCTAGGGTGATGGCAGATTGTGGGTTACAAAGACCTAGATAGAAATCTTATCTGGTTAAGCAAAGACAAGGTTAATATATACTAAAGTGGAATACCTATATTATCTCTGGGGTAAGCAGTTTAAGACTGACCTAAAGGTTATTTTGTACTTGCGACCCTCTACGTGCTGTTCTATACAATGGCTATGGCTTGGGGAGCTGCAATCTTTCCTTGCCATGAGATCAACGGTGACCCATGGTCTTTGTTTGGGGTAACAGTACCTCGCGGATGAGTCCCTGAGCCCCTCCCAGTTACTGAGGTCATTTTACCAATTTAGTAGCTTTCCCTTAACCCAAACCTTTCTAATGCTATCTATGTGATCCTCAGTACGAGAAGTGAATGCAGCATTCTTTATTGACATTTTCCAGGTGCGTGGGCTGAGTCTCACGGGAGTAATTCCCATTCGCCGCCACCTTAGGGATCTGCATTCCTTCAGGATTATTGTAAAAGTTACAGTAAGGCTGAGGGTGTTATTTTGTCCTTATGGGGTACCGTCAGTAAAGCTCATGGCAGAGAAATTGGGCACAAACCAGTGCAACAAACACAGTTGAAAAACTGGAGCTTGAAACTGCAGCCTTGCCTACAGTTCTTCTCAGCCCAGCCTTGCTTGGGCATGAGAGGCAGCTCCCCACGTTCTGCCCATGTTGGCTGCATGGACTCCACCAGGGAATGATTCTTGCTTTCTGTCTCTCTGTCTCTTTCTTTGTCTTTCTGGTGCATGCATGCGCCCTATAGCAAAAAAAAAAAAAAAAAAAAAAAACCTTCAAAAAAAAAAAAATTCACTTACAATCACCATGAAAGGAATCATCTGACTTGAACCGTGATTAGCCATGTGAGAGGCCAGCACCCCTAACCACCATGCCACCTGCTGACCCCGTGGAAAAATTAATTGAATGGACAACTACTTAAGGAAGACTTGTAAATGGCCAAAAGGTACATGAGAAAAGGTTCAAAGTCTCGGTCACAAGGGAAATGCAAATTAAAACCCCAGTGAGATATCATTTAACCCCAATTAGAATGGCTAGGATCAAAAAAACAAAAAAATAAAGGATGACTAGTGCTCGTGAGGCTGTGGTGAAAGGGAACCCCCTTACACTGTTGGTGGGATTTCAAATTAGTACAACCTCTGTGGAGTAGGGTGGTAGAGAGTGGGTATTTGAGGGTGGGTGTGAGGTGCAAAAGGAGGAAAACATTTTTTTTTTTTTGAGAGGTTTTTGCTATAGGCGCGTGCACTCGCCAGACAGAGAGACAGAAAGTGAGAAATCACCCTCACCCCCCAGGGGGGATGGCCACGCTGCAATCTCGGATGCATTTTCCTCTCAGGATTTTGGGCTTGCACACCTGCCCTGTGAGTTTAAACCACCGGGTCCAGAACTCAAACCGTGCTCAACTACATGGAAGTCCAGCAACATAGCCATTACGCTAACTGCTGGTCCCAGGAAGAAAACTTTTTTTTTTTTTGGAGAGATTTTCACTGTAGGGCACGTGCGCTCGCCAGACAGACTGAGAGAGACATAGAGACAGAAAGCGAGAAATCACCCCCCAGGGGGGATGGTCACGCCGCAATCCCTTCTCCTCCATTCTCCTCTCGGGATCTTGGGCACGCACGCACACGCGCCCAGCATGAGTTTTAAGCCACCGGGTCCGGGACACGAACCGCGGTCGACTACGTGGGAATCCAGCGACATAGCCATTACGCTAACTGCTGGTCCCAGGAAGAAAACTTTAATAGACAAAATAAAATGTAAAGTTCTCTGTTGAAATAAAAATATATATTGTATACATCATGATGGGAACGTTATGTAAAATGTGGAATTATCTGAAAAATAAACAATTAAAAAATTGAAGTCATACTGTTTTGTTTTCTGCTTTTTAAAAGGTAATTTTTAGTGTATTTGAAGAAATAGACACTTACTGGGAACAATTTTTTTTATTTAACTTTTATTTTCAAAAACACAAACAAATAAAAAAGACAAATCCAGCTTATGATTGTACTGAATACAAAATACAAACAAACTAACACATTTATTGCACATAAAAATATTTCACACAATGTATTGCACAGTATAGAATTGATTAGGAAAGTCACAAACCTATTATGAGATAATATTAGTATTATTCCAGGATCGAACAATACAGAATATTTCCTGATAAAGATTTGCCATACCATATATTGCACGTTTTCCAACAACAATCTGCTTTACAAATATTTCTCATATTCTTTACTTTTTTCTTTTGTCTACAAAATGCTACATAGAATGTTTTTAAGGCAAAGAAATATGTACTACTGAAAAATATCAGTCTACAACTAAGGAAATTAAAAAAAAAAAAGGAAAGAAAGAGAAAACATGATCACCCCATTCATTGGGGAAAAATAATTCAAAATTATCTTGGCAAAATTCTCTAAAATGAGAGAAATATTACAATTTAGTTTCATAAGCATTTGTCTACTTACGAATGCTCACTGAGTTTAAAAAATTCTGTCTTGGTACCAGCAGATGATGAAGCGACTACATCACTGGGCTCCCACTTGACCAACCGTGGTTTGAGTACCAGACCCGGGGGCTTGAAAATCATGCAGGGTGTGTGCGCATGTGTGCCCAAGATCCCAGGAGAAGAATGGCGAAAAAGGGATTGTGGCATGGCCATCCCCCTTGGGGAGTGATTTCTCACTTTTGCTCTCTCTGTGTCTCTCTCTCTCTCACCACAAAGCACATGTACCCTAAACCAAAAACCTCACCAAAAAAAAAAAAAAAAAATCTGTCTTTCCAGTGAAAATTCCCTCTGTTTACATTCAGTTTTTGATCCTACCATCTAATTCCTTCAAATAGTACAAATGTATGAAGAATACGCTCTGTTAATAGTTATTCAACCATAAATAATAACTCTAAACCTAATTGTGTTATTTCTTCTAGATTTAAATTACATATAAAGTGCAGCTGACGGTTTTCATAGTTCTTATCCTTGTGTATGATGATCAAAGTGTAATGTTTTCAGCTCATGGCAGAAAGAGTCCATGATGTAGAATTTTTTTTAAATCCTTCTTTTTTTTCACAGTTCTGCTTCGAAAAAGATTTCCAAGACAACACCAAGTTTTTTTTGCTAGTCTTGAGGGAAGACTTTTGACCATAGAGCAGCATCCATTGACACAAATTTCCTCTAATTTGTGATGTAAGAGTCTGTACGTAAATGTTTCCTCACTATTGGGAGGGTTTGCTACAGATCCAGTGTAAATTCTTGTCACATTCCGTACTGCTCACCTCTGTGCTGTTCAGAAATGCACAGTTCTCAGACCCTGTAATGTTGAACCTGTCAAATGATAAGGAAACTTAGAATTATTTCAGTTCCTCATTTCTTTTTGGTTACACAAGAATAAACATTGTGGCGGTCATGGCCTCTGCTTTTTTTTTTCCCCTTAGTATGAAGTACAAGGCAGTTAAAGAATCACAGACTAATCTGTAGAAATAAAGATACGAAAATGGAAACGAGTAGCCTCTAAAGAAAGGAGGGACATGCTCTGTGTGCTTTCTTGGCATGTCATAATGGTGATGCTTGATCACTTGTAAGTTCAGAGATCCTTCAAAGAAACACATTCCAGAAATCGCATACGTTCAATAGTTTTGCATATTAGTGCATACAGTTTTAGGGGTTTATGAGCCCAAAGCCCCTCTGTAGATATGGAACATTAGGACATACAATAATCTCTTTTATAGAGATGTAAATTTTAATGTTGATACTGTATAATTAGTAATTATTATAAAACTACTAAGATAGTGAAAAAAGTATTCAATTCTGAGTTTTTAAATGGCAAAGACTAATATCAAAGTTGTGAAATGTTCTTAAAACTTTGAAATGTAATTTAATTGCAGATAATAAAAATAGCATCAGAATTTTTCATTCTGACCCAAGTATTCTCATAAGCCCACAGAAACTTATTAATTAAGCATTGAAAATATTATCTCTGTGGAGATAAACTAGGAAAGAATAAGAAGGAATTTTTTCAGCAATTATCTCATTATTAAAATATAAATATGAGATTGGAAATATTGGTCTTTGTTTTTTCATCATCATGATTATTCTTGAATTAGTTCCAATTGAACTAGTTCTACTATACAAACTACAATAGAATTTACTTAAAATTATTATGTACATTTACTGTATGAATTGTATATAAGTGAATAAAGAGAAAAAAGAATTCTAAACAGCATACGAAACAGATCACTAGCGCTCTGGGCATGAAGAATCCAGCCTTGATAGTGAACAGCGTTTTGAAAGGAGAAAAGGAAGATGGTTTTCCTGAGATGCTACCTTGAAGGAAACAAAGACTTCTTAAGACTCACCAGTTGTTAAATTCTTTGCCAGTTGACCATTTCCATCTCTGACCAGCTTTGTTTTCTAGTCCTATCCAGTGTTCATCTCTACCCACAAGTTGTTTCAGGAAGATCTTAAAGAAAGCACAAAGGAGTTACAAACTGCTGGGTAAATGTATGCTAAATTCTGTTTCTAAAGACTATGATTTGAGGCATGCTAGCTAAACTGATCATTTATTAGTTCTATGTAGGATCAAGTCATTTGAAATTCTGGTCTTTAATTAATTCAAATTTAAAAGACTAAATGAATTCTTATTTTGACCTCAGATTGATCAGATAGTTCTCTGATGATTACATTTTCTTACATGTGGGGGCCAGCAGGTGGCGTCATGGTTAAGGTGTTGGATTCCCACATGGGCAAACATGATTTTAGTCCTGGACCTGGCAGCTTCAAAAATCACGCCAGGCACATATGTGCACATCCCAAAATCCCAAAAGGAGAATGGAGAAGGGACTGTGGTGTGGCCATTTCCCCTCAGGTGGTGACTTCTCATTTTCCTTCTCTCTGTCTTTTTGGTGTTCACTCATACTCTATGGAAAAAACTAAAAAGAACCCCTTTTTCTTACACGTCAGACAGCTACAATGTTTTCATTCATAAGGGGTCAAAAGGAAACAGATGGGTTGCATAAATACAATGTTGATAGTTTTGAATCTTACCAGGTCCTTTTCAGAATCAATGACAGCAAGAGAAGCATCATATTTAACACAAGAGTTTTGAGCCAAGGTCCAGGTCCCCGTATCAGTGGAAATAAAGTAGCATTTCTTCTGGTATCCAACCCAGTCACCAGGACAAGGAGAAACATGGCTCTCTGATGGCCCCGAGTACATGTAGTGGCCTGGACAGTTGTACTGGCCCACTGTGAACAGGAAAATAGTATGTTTTAGTAACCAAAGAAACCAAATACCTATAGCATGAGGAACTAGTCCAAAGGCTACTGGGCTACACTAGGGGAGGATTTGTTTTGTGGATTCTTTTGTGTTTTCCATGGAGAGCAACCGTGGATACTAGAGACAGTGTGGGAGGAAGGTGGGAAATGGGGGAAGGCGAGAGGAAGGGAATCAAGGGAAAAAAGAAGCAAAACATTTAAGGGACACAAAAATGGAAAGTGATCTATTAATGATAATGCGCATGGTAACATCTCTGACTAGATCGATATACATTCATGATGGAAAATTCATTTGGTATGCTGTCATGATACACAGTGATTGAATGTAAATTTTTAAAAAAATAATAATAATGAATAAAATAAAATAAATTTTTTTAAAAAGAATAAAGTCAATAAAGAATCCCTCCCCCCCCCCAAAAAAAATGCAGGAGATGTGAACCTAGAAGGAGAATTCTGCAAGAAATAAAAAGAAAGTAGGTTTTCACTTTATCTGATTTTTTTTTTTTTGAGAGGTTTTTGCTATAGGGCACATGCGTTCATCAGAAAGACAGAGAGAGACAGAGAGACAGAAAGTGAGAAATCACCCCCCCAGGAGGCATGGTCACACTGCAATTCCTTCTCCTCCATTCTCCTCTCAGGATCATGGGCACACACACACACATGTGCCAGGCGGGGGTTTAAGCTATGGGGTCCGGGACTCAAACCGTGGTCGACTACATGGGAGCCCAGAGACATAGCCCCTAGGCTAACTGCTGCTGCCAACCTTATCTGATTTTCTACTGTACCTAGTTATCACTGTATGAAGCAGGAGGATAAGGGCGTGCCCCTTTGGTCATCATGTTAGAAAGTGGCAGGAAAATAGAGAAATTCTTGAAAATAGACTTTGGGTTAGAAAGGGCGTTATAAATTCCAAGTAAGACTTTGGATCTGAATGCAGAGAGGGAGGGATGTGGAGATGCAGTGGATAGATAAAGCACTAGGAAAGGAGATGGAGAGAGTAATTTTCAGGGAACTAATTCAAAATGCAGAACACTCTATGGCTCAGGATGATTCATAAAATCTTAAAATGTCACATTTGTCACAATGTGTATTGGTATAACTCTATGGACCTATCACTAATGACTGGGAGTTTGTACATAAGAGCGTTAATTATCTAGAAGTGCCCTTCTATGGCCTTACAGATAAAAGACAAAAGACAGAGCATTGCTCACTAATCCGTAGCTTAGATATTAATTTCTCCCACCAATGATGAATGTAAAGCGCACTTTGCTTTCTCTCCAGCTGAATGTTTATTTATTTTAAATCTACATCAGCCCCACTCATTCTAGTTGTAAGTATCTGTGGAAACATACGTTTCTCCTGTGGTATATATAGAGACCATGCGAATGCCCACCAATTTCAGCTGGACCAGAAAGCATACGGCTAGAAAGCTTGGGGAGAATTTATGAAGTGCAGACACACCTGATAGGGCAACGAGAGCGATGATTAAAATGGTGATGAAGACCACATTCAGTACAGCACATGGGACAGGAACCAGAAGAGAGCCTTCATGGTGGGTTACAAAGTGGGAGCTGGCAGCACTGTCTGAAAAGGAGAGAGATGACCATGAATTCGGGCAGACTGTAGAAGTAAGAGAAGGACATTTAACATTCTTGTGAAGCATTTAAATAAAAAAAAAAAGAAAGAACTGCATTTCCCAGTCTCCTTATATGACATTTGTAAGCTCATTTCCCCCCAGTTTTGGCTGAGCTTAGCTAATTTCTTGTTTGGGACAAATGAAACAATTCAGGTATAATGGTGAGATCATAAAACAATTTCCCAATACAAGTAATTTGTAATTTGTACATACATACGTACTTAGTACATACAATCGATGTACTTAGTAGGTATGGAAGGTTTAAGAATATAATTACTTTATTGTTTAGTCATAAGAAAAACTTTTATTAAACATCCGATTACTCAAGAACACATATAAAAAGAAGGTCCATGGCACAATTCCTTAACTACCTTGTGGTTACTATTTAAGAAAGATGATGTAAATGACATAAATATGTATGATATAACAAAGAAAATACTGATACATAAAACTAGGATGATTAAAAATAAAAGAAAACACAATACTATTGGTTAAGTTGGAGTAGGGGTGAAGCAATTAGAATGTTTACATACAATTAGGAGAGTAAATCAGAAAAGTACCTTAAAAACTGTTTCTTGTGAAAATGTAAAAATAAATAAATTACTTTTAAAAAAGAAAACTGTTTCTTAAAATATTAAATATACACCTATCCTATGGCCCTGCATTTCTGTTCCTATGTATATCCCCAGGAGAAATTAAAATATGTTCTCAAAATGTCTTGCACACAAGTATTTACAGCATCTTTATTCTGAAGAGCCAAATCCTAGAAATAACCCAACTATTCATCAACGAGAGAATGCATAAACAAATTATGGTATATCTATACATGGGAATTCCACTCTGCAATTATAAAAAAAGCTGATACAGAAAACAAAATGGATAAATCTCCAAAAAATGTTGAGTGAATAAAAATCTACCTATAAAAGATTCTATAACATATATTTCCATTTATAGGACATTTAATAATAGCCAAACTAAGCTAGAGTGACAAAAACAGAAGACATGGTTGCCTCCATGTGTGTAGTAAAGGTAATTTAACTAGAAGGGCACCCAGGGGGACATCTAGGGTGATGGAAATATTAAAATGTTGATTAGAGTTGTGCCTATAGAATTATAGTAACACAGGGGACCAGCAGTTGGCATAATGGCTACGTTGCTGGACTCCCATGTAGTCCGACTGTGGTTCGAGTCCCGGACCCAGTGACTTAAACTCACTTCCGGCACATGTGCGTGCATACCCAAGATCCCAAGAGGAGAATGGAGGAGAAGAGATTGTGCCATGGCCCTCCCCACTGGGTGGTGATTTCTTGCTTTCTGTCTCTCTCTGTCTTTCTGGCAAGTGCACACGCCCTATAGCAAAAACCTCTCAAAAAAAAAAAAAAAAGAATTATAGTAACTCACTTAACTTTACACCTTTGATCTGTGTATTCACTTACGTAAATTACATCTCAATTAAAGATGATGACCAGAAACATATTTGAATTTTCCAAGAGTAGAAAATAGAAATAATGGAAAACATGAAGTGTTATAGATCAAATGTTGAGTTGGAGTTAATTTGTTTCCTCTACCCTTCTATATAATGGTGAAACGAAGTAATAATTTTCTTTTTCTAGTAAGAAAATTTTTCACAGAAAAACTTAGCCTAGGAATGCTCAGCTGTGTTGGGGCAGGTGGTAGGGCATTGCTCTGCAATTCTGGAATCACATAGGAGACCAGGTTCAGATCCTGGGTCGACCCGAAACATGCTATCCTGGCTGGCAAAAGACTGGGGGAGGTGGCTTATGGCATAACAACCTGTGGAGGGAGCTTGTTTAATAAAAGAAATAAACCTTAAGACATAACTAATTTATACTAGGAGTATGATGAGAATGATAATTCTTGGATATAAAACAATATTGGAAGGAAATCTGTTCCAGGTAATAGAAACTAGAATAGATATTTGGGTAAAGGGATGAATGGAAGAAAGTTAATACTTGAGAACTGAGAAGGGAATTTGATGACTCTCATTTTGAATTTTATTTTTGCAGGATGAGGTTTTAAGATTTTTAAAATTTGCTCCCACAAGAAGTAAACAGATCTCTATTATGGTTTCAAAAACTGAAAGGTAAAACAACTACTTGAATGATATTATACCTTTCTCACAATGAAAAATAGTCTCACAATGCACAAATATCCCGTTTCAAAACATAGATGATTTTCTTAAATAAAAGTATGCATCTCTTGAAATAACTTGTTTTGTTTGTTTTCCCTTAAAACATTTCTCTGAGGTTAAACTGTGAGGAGACGTTTACTTGTGTGCATAATCATTTACCGCGTATTGGGTGATAATCAACTTTTGCTTCCTCTCAGGTTATCTTTTCTCAATGTAGACCTGCATGAAGATTTTCCAAGAGAAACCTTTACCTCACCCCTATCTTGTTCTCATCTTCCCAAAGCAAATCTCTTATTTTTTTACCCATACACAGTTAGCTCCGGAAGTAGCCTTTGATAGGTAGGGTAGCAAGTTCACAGTTCTGTCTAGTTTCACTTCTCACCAGGAGCATCAGTCATCGGGCTTGGACTCCATGCAGCAATAGCTTTGTCTCCTCAGCATGTACTAACACCTCCAAAACCTCATGGACTCTGGAGCCATGCTCAGCTCATTGGCCCACCCAGCGGGTTCGCTGTGGAGATGACTCTCAGGCACCTTCTTTCCATTAGTGAGGGTTGTTTCCCACAGTTTGATTTATCACTTAGGCAACAAAACATTTCCCAGACAGCCCACTTTTGCTCTGATTATACATCCTGCCCATCAATAAAGAAGCTGAAAATAGATCCTTCCACTTATTACCTATTAAATCCTCCTAGTAAGTGCCCAGTGATTGTTCATACTAATAAAACTTCTAGGGCAGTGTAGACCGAACATTGAACAGAAAATTGGGATGATCTCAAGAAGATTTAAGAATTTTTGCATTAGGTCCTTCTCCCATCAGCTATGGTCTATATTGAGTAGTCTTAATATTATCTTTTTGGCTGCTCAACTGGACCATCAAGCTGTGGCTCACTTGATTACTTAAATATTTGTATGCTTGTTTACTGAAATATTTGTATGCCTTGATTTGTTACCCACAATTAATCTTATGTTCTTAAACAAATAATGAGTTTATCAGAGATAACTGATGCTTTTCTAAAGTAGACCAACTTAGTAGACACACTCAGAAAATAATTTGTTTCTCAGAAAATAATTTCTGATTCTTTTCTAAAGTAAACCAACCTAGCAGACACACTCAGAAAATAATTTATTATAGGGTAGATCTTGCTTTCAAGTAAACTCCAGCTGCTAAGTACTAGTGTTTCAGGGCACTTTATTAATTGGAGAAGGAGAGGTGTCAATGGAAATAAAAAAAAAAACATGTAAAACCTTACAGAGGGAAAAATTGATAATGTACACTGGTAATGCATTGAACCCACAAGGAGGGTCCTGGGTTCGCATCCTAGGATCTCTCTGAGTTGCTGGGTGGGTGCATGCATGTCTGGCTGAGACTGGTTGTAAATTGTGGTGTGAGGACCTTGTTAGGGTGCTTGTCTCTCTCCCTTAGAAGAAAAAAAGAAACTTAAAGACTTACAGAAAAAAGGTACAGAAAAACAATTGGAAAATTCTGGTAATAGAAACTAGAATAGATACATGGGTAAAGGGATAAATAGAAGAAAGGAAAATTTATAAGAGGATTCTATTTTGATGAAAAACAAAGGAAAGGAAGAAAAAAGTCTGACTCATGTAGAACTTGAAGCTAGTGATTGGAATGAAGAGAAAGAAAAATGAAATGGAGAAAAACTGTCCCATAAAAATAATAGCAAAGCAGAGGATTGCATTTGAAAGAGTTCTTCTGCAACATTCTCCAAAGCCAACACCATTAGGCATCATGAATGTTCAGATGCTTATGCAGCTATGCCCCCAAAGATTGGAAACCTGTCCATTTCCAGGAAGAGCAGGATGCTGTCAAGTGAACGCCGGAAGGAGGCACACAGAACGCAGATAAAGATACAAGGGAAGGCACTCGAGAATGTAAGGGTCCACGTGGAATACAGACTCTCCCAGGAGCAGAGGCAATGCTTTCTGGAGCATGAGCAGGTTTAAATGGAAAAGGACAGAGAGTAACTGGGCTAGAACAGAGAGTTTTCTAATTAAGTCTAAAAGCCGAGATGATGTAAACTGAAACAAATAGACACACGGAAAAAGATTTTTAAAGACCTGGTCGTTGCTTTTGAGGCTTCTTATCTCAGATTTCCAATGCCCTCATGAAGGAAAGAGTATTTATCTCTCTCCAGTATCTTCTTTGTGTGACAGAAGTAAGATCCATGAAGTTTTTTAAAAGACAAAGCCTTATTTTCTACGTAACTGCCATTCTATGTCATACACAGAGACATTGCCTGTACATAAGAATCGGGTGTGACTTACTTTCTTGTCCTTTCTCCAGATGCAAAGAGCTGTTCTCTGTTATGCAACAATCTTCAGAATTCATCTTTTTTCAGAAGGTTCTTCTAGTTGGTCTCAGGTCAAGCCAATCTACGGTGAAAGTTTTTGCTGGCGCTCTGGTTCAGTCTCTGGGTCTCTGAGGCATCTCATCACTTATATTCCGGTGTGACGTCTCCGCCCCCTTCCTTTCACCTCCCATTTGCTCAACTGTGGTGGTTCTCTTTAATGTTTGCTCCAGTGGCTCAGAAATTTACAGTGTTGTTTGGGTGAGGTATGGGTTTTCCCTGCCACCTGAAATATATGCTTTCTCACAACTGTAAACGTAGCACAAAGAGACAAGGGGGAATTTCCCAGAATTTGAGACATCCTTCCTTAAATTTTTAAAAAACATAAGTACCTTAGGAAACAACACATAATCTAAGAAAAGAATTAAAAATTAAAAAAATAAAAAGTTAGAAATTCCTGTCACTGAGATGAAATAATTTGGAGGAGACTGTAATAGCACTCTAGAATCCCATTAATTTAGTTGTTTGTATGCCTAACAACTAATATTTATTGAATATCTCTATGTATGGGCCCAAAGGATTTACTGTTAAATAAGAATTTAAGGCCTGTCTCCACATGAGTCGCTCTCCAGCCTGGAAGAGCCTTACTACTTAGGAAGCTATGGTTGGCTTTCAGAAGTGTGTCTGTCATTCACTTCCTCCCTGGGTGCTCATTTTTTAACGCGTCATTTAGTAAGTACTTGCTTCAATACAGGAAATAGAAAGCATGCGGTTTGGAACTTCCTTGCTATGATCTAAAATAGTTTGTTATCTGTTTCATTTATCTTCTGCAAATTTTCTTGATATATTTTACTGACATTTAGACAGCCTTTATTCATCTCAATTACACCTTATTTTATTTTCCCTTCATCCTCCAAGTTATTCTGTTCAGATATCGCTAAGGCTCCAGACATGTGGAGTTTGACGAATGTAAAATACTGCTGTGGTATCGTGCTCATCAGATGAGCTGTTAAGGCCAGTATAAACTGAGTGCAGAATGTCTACGTATGGTGATTTAGGGGACAGAGAGATCAAAATGCCACTCTGGTTAATAATCTTGATACCAAAAATTTGTTACTATTCCTCTTCTTTAAAGATAGTCTGGTAAAAATGTGCTTAGGTGTGTTGAAAATGATCATTTATCAAAGTTAGGTGATCAGATGTTCTTGTCTACCTAAAACATAAAGAGGTACGTGTTGGTCTTAAAGGTTCTTTTTGGTTTCACTGTATTTTTTCTTTTCTTTTCTTTTTTAAAAGTTTTTTTCTTTTCTTTTTTTTTTTTTTTTCAGGACCAGACGATGGTGTAATGGTTACATCACTGGACTCTCGTGTAGTCAACTATGGTTTGAGTCCTGGACCTCTGGGCATGTGTGCATGCATGCCTAAATTTCCAAGAGGAGAATGAAGGAGAAGGAACTGAGGTGCAGCCATCTCCTCTGGGGAGTGATTTTTCACTTTCCGTCTCTCTGTCTCTCTCTATTTCTTCAGCGAGCACATGTAAAAAAACAAAAACAACAACAAAAATATTTTTTTTTCTATAAAGCATATGCACTAGTCAGAGAGAGAGAAGAGAGGAAGAGAATGAGGGAAAGTGAGAAATCACCTCCAAGAGGAATGGCCACACCACAATCCCTTCTCTTTCATTCTCCTCTCAAGATTTTGGGCATGCACTCACATGCATCTGGTGTGTTTTCCAAGCCGCCAGGTCTGAGATTCAAACTACACTGTCAGCCATGTGAGATCCAGCTACCTTATCCTCCCCACCACCTGGCTGGTCCATTTTCATGCTATTTTAAGTCAATTGCTTAGTGCTTTTTCCCACATGGTAGCTGGAAGGTTTATTTTTCAATTAAGCGATAATCATTTTGGGGAGATGTTCAAGTCCTCTCCTCTTCTATACCCAAAGGCTTCCTTTCAAAAAAAACTCATAAAACCAAAGACTTTCTTATAGTTGAGAAAACTTTATACATAATATAGCCCTTGGCTCCTCCCCCACTCATTTCTGTTCATCAATACCTCTCACTAGTCATCTGGCCGACACACAAAAATGCCGAGCATTCTACCACTGCAGTCTCTCTCTCTCTCTACATATATATATATATATATGTATGTATATAAATGTTCTTTCTCCATCTTCCTCCATATCTTGCTTTCTATTTAACTTAATTCACTCACTGTTTAGCTATCGCCTTCTCAGGTCTTCACTTGTCATGACATGCAAAACAGAACCTGGCACCTAGCCTTCCACATACCTCTGTCTTTCTTTACATCACTGTCAATATCTGATATTATACCACTGTTTATCATCTGCTCTTATTAGACTATAAAGGCTTAGGGACAAGGGCTTTGTCTGACTCGTCCTTTTGCTAGCAAACCAAAGTTGGTATGAACCGGGAACAGTTGCTAGCTGCCTAAGAAGCCGAACTCTGATCATGAGGTTTGTCTAGAAGGAAGACTTTGTATTATGGGTGATGTCATGAGGGACACAGCTAGATTTCTCAAGTTTGTCTCCTCAGATGTGTTTGGGGGTGGGTTTTTATAGGGAAATAATTCCCTCCACCCCAGTCTTCAATTATAACCATATGTGCAGTTAAAGGACTGAGACCCGTGCTGTATTGATTGGCCAACTCAGGGAGCTGTCCAGCTGGTCCATCGTTGGGATTGGTATTGCTCTGAATGGCTGTTATGCTGCCGCCAGCATCCACACTCCCTCCTTGCAGTGGTGGCGGTGGGTGTGAACCTTGGGTTAGTCAGCCTTCCCACCAGTGCTTCCTTCAAGCAGATATTTACACTGCAGTCAGGACCAGGTTTCTCACATGCAGGCTAGTTCTGGCTGGTTACACCGTATGTCTTAAACACCTATCAGTCACCAGAACCTGATATGCATCGAGTATACACTGCACCACTAATCATGCACACTCTGTAGTGACGAACGCATGAAATAATATCATTGCTATAAATCACAATATTACTTGAACTCTTCCAAGTCTGTGAGGTACAAAGAGAGAGAATGGAAATGTCCTCATACACTGATTACCTTTGCCCCAGGTCTTTTCCATACGCAAAGAAGGGACTTTCAGCAGCTGTTTGGACTAACACAGAAATCAGGTTCCAGTTTCATTATTCAGTAATATACTGTGTCCACTCTGGCGAGTCCCCATTAGAGTGAAAATCCAGTGTCCATAGCTGGATACAAACTGCCCGAAAGTTTGACTATTGCAGAACAATCATGCAGAGTCGTCTAATACATAGGTTTTACAGATAATCGTCCTTCCGTCATTTTCCCTTATGCTCTTTACAGATCAAATACATTGATCTTCATTCTGGTCCTTAAAAAGCTGAACTTATTTTCACTTTTCAGGTTGTTTTCTTGCTCTTTCGTCCTTCTGTCATTTTCCCTTATGAAATGTAGAAGTCAGTATTTTCAGTATTTTCACATTGATCTTCATTCTGGTCCTTAAAAAGCTGAACTTATTTTCACTTTTCAGGTTGTTTTCTTGCTCTTATTCTTTTTGTTCTCAGGTTTTTCATGGCTGACTCTGTTTAGTCATTTATATTTAACTTCACATATCACCTTCTCAACCAACCTGACCATTTCTGTAAATTACTTCTCAATAGTTCTTATTTCCTTACTCTCTTGCAATTTATAGAACATATCACTATCTGAAAGTCTGTAATGTATGTATACTTATGTCAGCTTATAAAATCATTATTATCTTCTATTTCTCACTAGTAGAAAGTAAGCCTTTTAAGATCAGGCACCACATACTTTTCTTCTTCTTCTTTTTTTTTTTTTTTACTATTTTCTTATGAAAATAAAATTACAAATCGAATTATGCTCTAATACTTAAAATCTAATCTAAAACAGAGAAACATTTCCACATGGTTTTGTTGAGTAATACACGAAAGAATGTGTATGTGAATGTAAACTCGGCATTTATAGTGTGTCACTCACAGACCTATAGAACTATTGAACTTCAGCTTTGCTATCTATAAACTGAAAATACTGACTTCTAATTTATAAAGTTTTCATTCAGAAATAGTTATGAATTAGAAAGATAATTTTCTACCATACATTTGGTATAGAGCATTCAATGAGATGTAAAGGAGTAGGAAACAAGACTGTCCCTCATCTAATGTCAGTACCGAAAGGTAAAAACAGAGAACTCCCAGCCCAATTGCTGATGCAACGTGTCTCTTGCCTGTCTGGGTCACAGACAGAGGAAGCTACAGTCATTTACAGTCGCCTCTAATGGCTTTCACTGCACTAACATGCTTATTCACGTGCTCAAGTGTTCACATGTAGAAACAACCATAATCAGGTGAATAGATATTCTGTGTATATATTTATAAATACTTCTATACATGTGAACAGATGTGTACAATATATATTGCATATTTTATGTGTAATATATATCAAACATATTTTTATATACACCATTAGTTATGGGAAATACCCAGAAATCTCTTTTTAAGAGAGAAATATCCTTAAACATTATGACATTGATCAAAACCTGTTATCTTTGTTCTGAATTCATTTTTTTCTGCCTATCTTCATGGGGACAGCCGAAGTATTTTGTTGGAATCAGCCTGTGAGGAGGTAAGAGAGGCAGCCCTTGTGAACCAAAAGCAGCCAAATTACCGAGAGTGTGTGATATGAGCAGGTCGTATTGGCCCTCATTGTGTTCTAGGTCTGATACAAGAGCCTGAACTTTATTGGAAAATTAATTGTTTTCTTCTTCAGTCTTCCATCCTTTTCAACAGTCTTCTCCTTTAAAACAAACAAATAAAAAAGTATAGAGGACCAGCAGTTGGCGTAATGGCTCTGTCACTGGATTCTCACATAGTCGACCATGGTTCGAGTCCCGGACCCCATGGCTTAAACTCACACTGGGCATGCGTGTGTACGTGCCCATGATCCTGAGAGGAGAATGGAGGAGACAGAATTGTGGCGTGGCCATCCCCCCGGGGGTGATTATTCGCTTTCTGTCTGTCTTTCTGTGAGCACATGTGCCCTATAGCAAAAACCTCTCAAAAAAAAAAAAGTATAAAATCTCACTTAGATTTGAGAAAACCATCAACTTGCATTCAAGTGAAGGTCGCCCAGCATCGTCCTGGTTGACTTGTTGCCCTGCCATCATCAGT